AACAAGAGAAACAAACAGAAAAATCAGACTTCATCAAAGTTTTAAAAGTTTTGTGTACAAAAAAAAAAAAACAACCTCACTGCCTATCCAGTTCATTCCAACTCACAGTGACCTCCACTGGGTTTCCCAGGCTGTCAGTCTTCAAGGAAGCAGAGCCCAAACCACACCCACTGCCATGGAATCGATTCTGACCCACAGCGCCCCTAGAGGACAGAGTGGAACTGCCCCACAGGGTGTCCAAGGCTGTCAATCACATGGAAGCAAAGCCCAAACCACACCCACTGCTGTGGAGTCCATTCTGACCCACAGCGCCCCTAGAGGACAGAGTGGAACTGTCCACAGTGTCTCCAAGGCTATTGGTCTTTACCATAACTGACTGCCTCACCTTTCTCCCTCAGAGTGGCTAGTGTGTTTGAACCACTCATCTTTTGGCCAGCAGCTGAGTACTTAACGACTGCACCACCAGGGCTTTTTTCCAAACATTTAAGGATGAAGTAAATCAGTCTTAAGTTGATAGAAAAACAGACTTGAGCAGGAACTCAAAGAGCGTGTTTCTGGGTGGTCAATGAGCAGTTCTCCGGCCCCAATGTTAGGTATGGAGTTTGTTTCCCCAAACAAGTCTGAGTTTCTGTCTGTCGTGGTGGCTTTGGTTCTTCATGCAGCTGTGACAGACATACCACAGCAGGTGGCTTTAACGAATGGAGATTTATTCTCTTCCAGTTCTGGAGGCTAGAGTCGGAGTTCAAAGTGCCCGCTCTCGGAGCTGGGTGACCTTGGGCTTCAGCTCTGCCTCTTGTTCCCGGCCCACCAGAGTAGGAGGTGTCTCCTAACTCAGGCAGCTGCTGGCTGCTGAGGCTGACAAACCCAAGGTCGACAAGTAAAATGTCACAGTCCCAAGATTAACAAAAACAACATGGCTGGCCACTAGTTCAAGTCCAGGAACCAGAGGTGAAGATGGCCAAACGCAGGATCCAGACGTGCCAAAAAGCTAGAGACCTTTCCCAAAGCTTTTCCTTATACACCGGAAGCAGGCCACACCCCAAAGACAACTACTAAGCTGCTCAGAGCAGACTCCACCATGAAGGTGATTATAATCTTATCATGGGGAGTAACTACACCCAGCTGCCCAGCCACTCAGAACCCCAGCCCAGCCACATACTGGGCTGACATACAACCGTAACTACCACCATGGTGATGACTGTGTCCCTAGGACAGCAGCTGCCAAGTAGGAGGTGGCTGCATCCATAGTCGAGGAAGGGTACAAAATTATGCACGTCTTTGCGCATCCAAACACACTCTGACACGTGCCACGGACCCGCCTGCGGTGAAGAGTGCCAGCTTCATGACACCAGCCAAGTAGCCCTCCGTCCCTGAGCCTGGGTTCCCTCCGCTGCCCAAAATGGCACAGTCCCAAGGTTATCAAACAACGACACCTGCCTAAAGTGCCTGTCCCCAGGAGCCCAGGGGCTGCTATCACCGCCACTCTCAGGCACGCGTGCTCACACGTGTATAGTCCCGGGCGCACGGGCTGTCCCGGACTCAGCTCCAGAGGACAGGAAACTCTAGCATTTCCTGGCAAATGGCATGGAGCACAGAGGGCCACCAGGGTCACAGGCCCAGGTGGAGCTAGAGAGGAAGAAGGTGGGGCCAAGAGCCCCAGCCCTGGGGGGAGGAGACTGGCACCACACCCTCACCCCTATGAGCTCCCACCAGAGTGGGACCCTCCACTCGGACCCTGGACACTAGCCCTAGGTCCTGAGAAGCCAAGCCCATGCCCAGGCTGAGCTGAGACGACAGTGATAAGCCTGGCACACCAAGGAACCCGGCGAAGGAGATGCAGACAGGAGCCCATTTCATTGAGAGGAAAGTGAGGTTCTCCTTGTACATGGGCACTTGTCCCAAGTCCCTGCCCCTGCCCCCCTGGACTGCCCTGAGGGTGCAGCCCACAGACACCTAATGTGGCCTGGAGGTACACTCATCACCCCCATCCCCCAGATCCCCACAGGGTCACTCCTTGCCAGTCTCCTCCAGTATATTGTCTTAGCTTTTAGGGGCCGAGCCTAGGCCTGGACCAGCAGTGGGATCCAGGGCAGGGGTTGGTGGGCGGCTCTGGGAAGACCCCCATCCCCTCCCTCAGTCCTGTGCAGTTCCCAAGCCTGCAGGCGTGGCAGTGGGGTGCAAGAGGCAGGAATGACAAGTTTGAGGTGCGCCAAACGCAGCTTGCTCCCACCTGGTGACACCAGGCAGCCCCTTCTGCAGGGACCCTAACTTCCTCAAGAGCCAAGTGGGACAAGGACTTTATGGAGGACTGGGGATAGGTGCAGGCGCTCTGGTGTCACAGTGCCTAAGGCATGCATTGCACTGCTAACCAGAAGGCTGGTGGTTCAAACCCACCAGCCACACTCCTTGGAAGGAAGGCTGGGCTGAAAAGATTTACTGCCTCCACATTATGCCGAGTGAAATAAGTTGATCACAGAAGGACAAACACAGTAATAGTCAAGGAAAGGTTTATATATGGAATGAAATTTTGTTGCTTACCAGGAGTGGGGTGGGAGAGCATTGCAAAAAAAAAAAAAATTACTGCCTCGGAAACCCAACGGGGGTCACTGTGAGTGGGAGTCCACTGGATGGTGACCTTGGGGACAGAGGGTATCTCCAAGTGGCTCCAGAACCCAAGCTAACGCGTCTCCTCCGCGGGCAGGCCCTAGCTCGCAGCCTCAGAACACAGCTTTCGCACACAGTGACAGGCTGCAAGGAAACTACCTGCCACCACCAGCCTGTTTTCCGTGCACTGGGCGTGGGTCCTCGCATCCACTTGCTTCCAGCACCCGGCCTGGTGCTGACAAGCGGAAGGAGACCAGGGGCAGGAGGCCACGCTGCAGCCGGCAGACCCTGCCACAGCGCGGCCACCCGGAGCGCAAAGCCCCCGCAGGAAGAGTGGGCCGCCAGGACGCACACCGAGCCCTCTCCGCGGGCGAGGCCCCGGCCGGCCACCAGGGGTCGCATGACCCCAGTTCCGCCTCGGCAGCAGGGACGGCCCCAGGCGCCCCCACTCCCACCTTCTTGAAACAAGAACAGGAAGCAGTTAACATTGATGAGAAAACCGTGGGAGGAAGCCACATCCGTTCTCCTTATTCTTCACGGAGGGCGGGGGGAGTGGGTCGGGAGAGGGGAGGTCCCACCGGACTCCCGGCCTCACGCGGCCACCGTGTGCGCAGGGAAGGGGCTTTTGGGGGGCTTCCTCCACTGTCCCACACCTCACTGGCTTTTTTTTTTTCTTGTGATTTGGGTGAAAGTTTACAAATTCATTTTCCACACAGCAATTCATACGCATTTTGTTGCGTGACACTGACTACAATTCCCCACAATGTAACAGCTCTCTTCCCGCTTCCTCCCCGTGGTCACCTCCTGTGCCCTTCCCTTCCACGCACTCGTGCCCCCCAAGCTGTCTCCTGTGCAAACACTGCCCTTCTGTTCCCCCATGATTGATGGCTCCAAGGAGTGCATCTGCCTGGTGTAAATGTTCACCCCATGTGCCTGTATGCTGTCTGGCTGGAAGCCACAGGAGTGAGTTCAGTTCCCGACCTGAAGGGTGACTAGGGGCCAGTCTCGGGGTTCTTCACCACATTCTATCACACCAGTAAGCCTGGTCTTTTTTTTTTTT